ATGATGATGATGATGATGATGATTATGCTGATGATGACGATTATGATGACGATGCTGATGATGCTGATGATGATGCTGCTGATGATGATCGTGATGATGGAGATGAGCATGATGATGCTGCTGATGCTGATGATGATGTTGCTGATGATGCTGATGAGGAATAAGATAATGCTGATGATGATGATGATGATGATGATGATACTGATGATGCTGACTATGCGGCTGCTGATGATGCTGATAACGATTAATATGATGATGCTGATTGTGATTGTCATTATGACGATGATGATGATGATGATGATGATGATGATGATGATGATGATGATGATGATGATGCTTACGATGATGCTGCTAATGATGATGATGATGATGATGATGATGATGATGATGATGATGATGATGATGATGATGATGATGATGATGATGATGATGATGATGATGATGATGATGATGATGATGATGATGATGATGATGATGATGATGATGATGGTGATGATGATGATGATGAGGTTGATGATGAGGATGAGGATGAGGAATGAGGATGTGGATGATGACGTTGCTGCGGAATGATGATGCGAGGAGGAGGCGGAGGAGATTGAGAGGTAGTAGGGAGGATGGTGGAGGAGTGATGGTGATGATGGATGATGTTGATGATGATGATGCTTATGATGATGATTGCTTTATGATGATGATGATGATGATGTTGATGATATGATGTATGTTTGCTGTGATGATGTTGATGATGATTTTTATGATGATGTTGATAACGATGAAAATGATGACGACGGCGATGACGCTGATGACTGTGATGATGATGATGATGATGATTATGATGATGATGGTGATGATGCTGATGATGATGCTGATGATGATGAGGTTGGTAACGGTAATGACGATCATGATGCTGATGTTGCTATTGATGATGCTGATGATGATGCTGATGATGATGAGTATGATGGTGATGATGATTATGATGATGATGATGATGATGATGATGATGATGATGATGATGATGATGATGATGATGCTGATGATGATGATGATGATGATGAGGATTGATGATGATGATGATGATGATGATGATGATGATGCTGATGCTGATGCTGATGATGATGATGATGATGATGATTTGATAATGATTGTTGGGAAATTTTTTTTGAATTGGGGGGGGGGGATTGGGCTGATGTTGGTGGTGGTGGTGGTGGTGGTGGTGGTGGTGGTGATGATGATGATGATGATGATGCTGCTGCTGCTGCTAATGAGCAGTCGTAGTCCAAGGGCGCCCTCGAGGGCGCGAAGTTATTCGCGCTTCGCGCTTCGCGGTTCGGCTCCGATTCCTCCTCGTCCTCCTCTCCTCCCCCGGGAGGCGGCGCGAGAGCGCGAAGTTATTCGCACTTCGCGCTCTCGCGCAGCGCGAAGCGCGAAGTTGGGAGCCCTTGCAGTCCTTCTCGTCCTCGCCGCAGGCCCTGTCGGCGGCCACGGCGCAGATCATCGGCCCGGGCGACCTGTTCAAGCTGATGCAGTCCAAGAAGGCCATGGTGCCCAACTGAGCGCGCGCATCGGGGGACGCCAGCTGTGCACCTCCGCCAGGACCCTGGCCTCAAGTCGGTCGCTGGCCCTCCTGCAGGGGGATTTTGGGCGAAAGATGAAAAAAACGACCCAGAGAGAATGCTCCCGCAGTGCCCCCAAGAGATTCAGAACACGATCCCCAGACTACTTTTTTCTGGACTACCTTCGAGTCTCCCCCCTGTGGAGGGACACGCCCGACCTGACCCTGGCCCGGCCCGGCGCTGGCCTGGACCGGAGCGGCGTGCCTGCCGCGTGCGTGCGCCGCCTTCTGGCGCCCGAGGTGGCGGCACCCTGCGCGGGCGTGCAGGGTCGGGCGGCCCCGCTGCCGGGCCCTCGGGGCCCGCAGCGGGCGGAGGAGGCGGAGGAGGCGGAGGCGGAGGCGGAGGAGGAGGCGGAGGAGGAGGCGGAGGAGGAGGGGGAGGGGGAGGAGGCGGAGGAGGAGGAGCGGAGGCGGAGGAGGAGGAGGCGGAGGAGGAGGAGGTGGAGGAGGAGGAGGGGCGAGGAGGAGGAGGAGAGGAGGAGGAGGAGGAGGAGGAGGAGGTGGAGGAGGGAGGAGGAGGAGAGGGAGGCGGGAGGAGGAGGAGGGAGGAGGAGGGGAGGACGGCCTCGGTGTTGGGGGCCAAACACGGAGGACTCGGGCAGCGTCTGGGGATGGTCCGAGCGCGGAGATCGGGCGGCTCACGTGGCTTCGAGAACCGGGGAGTCGTCGGGGGGAGCCAGCCGGTCGTGTCGTGCCTGGCCAGGCCAGGAGGGCCGTGCACCTCGGTCGAGGGCCCCAGGATCGGCTGGGGTCTACGCCATTTCTCCCCTCCTCCTCCTCATCCTCCTCTCCTCCTCCTCCTCCTCGGAGAAGGGCCGTTGGGATCTCGAGATCTCTCGAGGAGTGGGAGATTACGGATATCTGCGGCGGGAGGCGGAGGACGGGACCGCATCATACCACGCTCCCCAGGGATCCAGGAGGAGACCCAGCAGCCAGAGCTGCAAGAGTGTCCTGGCGGTGCCAGCACAGCTGGCGTCCTTACGGCAAGGCCCGCGAGGGTTGGCGGTTCTGGCAGTGCCCGTGCAGGGCACAGCGCCTTCAGATCTCCGCGACTTTTGGCCGCCGAGATCCGCTTTGCCGGCGCGTTCGCCTGCCATGGTTGGCGGCGCGCGCAAGGTCGGCGCCACCTCGACATACTACTAGTACTACGTGTGCGTCGACCCCATCCCCCCGGAGCGACGTGCGCACCGACAAATCTTGTTGTCTGTGCGTCGTGGCGGGGCGCTTTCTGGCCACACCGCTCGGGAAACGACGTGCTAGACTAGATGTGCAGACTAGATGTGCTGGTCGGACGCTCGCCTCCAAGGAGAACATGCAGTGTTGGTATGTCCTTGTGCGCCCCACAAGGGGGCGGGGCAAGGGGGAGGATGAGGACGATGATCAGAAGGGGAAAAACACACAGACACAATGAAATGTCCACTTCCGAGAGAATATGGAACTTGTGTGGGGGGCTGGGAAGACGAACATCAAGAACACACCGGAAAATAGGGGGAATCTTGGGATTTGTGTGTATTTATCTGTGTGCTCCTGGGCCCCTTCAGATGAGGAGGGAGATGCCCCAGCCCCCTCCCGTCGTGCGACGCACCTCAGAGATGGAGAGGGGTGCCGGCTGCAGCCGCGAGGCACCTTCGGGCAACCTCTCTCGATCATGGACTTAGGTCGGGCATGTCCCCCTACAGGCGTTTTTTGGACGAAAAATAAGAAAAAGTGAGACAAAAATCCAAAAAGCTAAAAAATAGTCCAAAATCGTTCCCAGAGTATTTATTGCCGAGCGTTTTCTTTGGGTGAAATCTGAAATGCCGCTTCGCCCAAAGCATGGCCACCTGTGAACTTCCCTCCCCGTCTCCCCCGCCCTTTCCTTCTCCGCCTCCTGCTCCCCTGCGTCCGCCTCTACCCCCATAGTTGCCTCTGCCTTCTCCTGCGCCTCCTCCTCCAAGGCTTACATTCCTTTCCTTTGCCTCCCTCCCTTCCCCCCCGCCCCCCTCCCCCCCATCATGATCGTCGGCCGCCCGCCCGCGCTCATCGCTAATGGCAACGGGGGGTGGCGCATCACTTTTCTGGAATCCATGCGCACTCGGCCCTCGACCGAGCCCGCGCCGTCGCCGGCACCTCTATCAGAGTTGCCCTCTCTCTCTCTCGGGCCCTGGTCCCCCATGTCGCCAGACTGGAGCGCGATGGCTCCGCAAACGTGCGCGCGCTTTCCTCCGAAGCCCGCCCGGGGCCCCGCTCGGGGCCGCCCCCACCGTCACCGCCCCGCGATGGGCCCCCGAATTCCGACCCCCGCCGTTTTTCCCACGCGTTTCTTGCCAAACGGCCGGAGGCGGTTTTAGAAAAGCAAGACGAATTCTAGAACGCAGAACGAGATCTAGAACCGCAAAGCGAATTCGAGAACAGCGGAAATAGTTCTAGAACGCAAAACCACATTCTACAATTTCATTCTTTTAAAGCATAAGCGAAAGCCAATTCTAGACCGGCCAAACAACTCTAGAGCGACGAAGTGAATTCTAGAACACAAGAAAAACGATTCTAGAATTCTGGATTGACCTGTCGGGCGCTGGTCGCGTGCTCGTTCACCCGGCGGGTGCCAGTCGCGTGCTCGTGCACCTGCCGCCGCGTCAGTCGCGCGCCCCTTCGCATGTCTGGTCCCAGTCGCGTACTCGGGGGCCCGGAGGGTCAGCCAGCCGCCCAGCCAGCCATCCATCCAGCCATCCAGCCCAACAGTCGATCCGCCAGCCAGACAGCCAGCGAGCTAAACAACCAACAGCGAACCGCCCAGCCAATCAGGGACGGGGCGCCGGCGACGGTGGGAAACGCATGCCTGCACATGGCAAGAGAGTCCGCGCCCGCTTGCCACTCGCAGATGCGCCGAGCGTGGCTCCGTCGAGGCACGAACCACCCGCGGGTGACTTCGGCGGGGCGGCGAAGCCCTGTTTGAACTATTGCTGGGTGCGAGCCATCAGCGGTGCCTGACCACGCGCGGGCGCAATCGTGGCGTCGTAGCGAAGCTCGGCGCTGCACATACAAAAGTCGCTACACAACGTAAGCTTCACCCTGGAAGCCACCCGCCCACAAGACGGATTGATTTCCGAGGTGCACAAGCCTATGTGGATTTCACCGTCAGCCCTCCACCTTAAGAATATGCTCAGTATGGTCTATTTTTGAATATTCCTCGTGTGGAGGGACAGGCCCGACTTAATCCTGGACCCGTGACCCTTGAGCTGGGCCCCCCTGGCGGCGCCTCCGGCGCCGCCCCCGGCGCGCTCCGCGCGCCAGGGGGGGGGAGGCCCAGCGCGGATCCAAGAAATCCGCGCGGAACGCCAATAGTTTACGTTGATGGCGTTTTCTCTTCTTCTAGATCCTTGCTCCTCGACCATATGCTTGATCCCGATCCTCGATCCCGATTCTTGGTCCTCGGTTCGATGATCCCCAGGACGTGTGTTAGCCCAGTGTGTGTTGACCACCTTCAGCCCAATCAGTAGATCATTGCATCACCTGCGTCGCATCGAAGGGCCTCGATGGACAACACACGCATTGGGGCTAACGCACGTTCTGAGGATCATCCATCGGTCCCCGATCCTCGATCCTCGATCCTCCCGATCCTCGATCCTTGGCTTCCCTTGTGATGTTCCAACCTACTTTAGCCTTGATGACGAAAAAGAGTTTCGAGCACCAGACCAAGTATCGAAACTCGATGGCTTTCACGTGTCGGGCCCGGGGAGACCCTCGCCCGACGCAGCTTCGACAAGTTCCCGGGAGCCCGAAATTATTGATTGAGATGTGGTCCTCAAGTACGACGGGAGCAACCTAAGGTTAAGTCGGGCCTGTCCCCCTACATGGGGATTCTCGACGAAAAATAAAAAAATCCCCAAACATCCTCCAAGAAGGTCTAAAGATACTCCAAAAATCGTCCCTGGATTATTTTTGGACTATTTTTCAGTTTTTTTAGGGTATTTTTGATTTTTCGTCGAAAATCCCCCTGTAGGGGGACAGGCCCGACTTGAGCCTAAGGCCTATCCCCCCCTTTCCCGTTTTTAATGCATGCTCCGCGTGCGGATCATGTATTACAAATACAGGGGGTAGTACCAAAAACAACGAGGAGTTCATGCATCAGTTTATTCCTGACTTAATCATGTATTAAGCATCCTATGTTCTTCATAATTCCGATGTGTTTAAGCCTGCCCTGTAAGGCCTATCCCCCCCCCTCCCCCTTGCCCTGTAAGGCCTATCCCTCCCCTCCCCCTCCCTCCCCCTGCCCTGTAAGGCCTATCCCTCCCCTCCCCTCCCCCTACCTCCCTCCCTATCCCTGTAAGGCCTATCCCCCCCCTCCCCCTGCCCTGTAAGGCCTATCCCCCCCCTCCCCCTGTAAGCCTGCCCTGTAAGGCCTATCCCTCCCCCTTGCCCCTTGGGCGCGCCGCCCGCACGCCGCGGCAGCGCTGAGGAGCCCCCCCGCCGTGCGCCGAGCGCCCCGCCGATCGGGCGGAGCGACCCCTCGGCGGGCGCAGGGCCCCCTCGGCCGTGCGGGAGGGGGCCGCCCGTCCCTCGGGGAGGCCGGGAGCCTCGGGCCGCGCGTGCGGCGTCACGGCGAGGGGGGGAGGGGGAGGGGGAGGAGGGAGGAGGAGGAGGGGAGGGGGAGGAGGAGGAGGAGGAGGAGGAGGAGGAGGAGGAGGAGAGGAGGAGGAGGAGGAGGAGGAGGAGGAGGAGGGGGGAGGGGGAGGAGGAGGAGGGGAGGAGGAGGGAGGGGAGGGAGGAGGGAGGGGGGAGGGCGGGCGGGCGGGCGGGCGGGAGGGAGGGAGGGGAGGGAGAGAGGGAGGGAGGGCGGGCGGGAGGGAGGGAGGGGAGGGAGGGAGGGAGGGGAGAAGGAGGGAGGGAGGGAGGCGGGAGGGAGGAGGATGAGGAGGAGGAGGAGGAGGAGGAGGAGGAGGAGGAGGAGGAGGAGGAGGAGGAGGAGGGGAGGGAGGAGGAGGAGGAGGAGGAGGAGGAGGAGGAGGAGGAGGAGGAGGAGGAGCAATGGCAGCACCCGCGCGGACCTCATGCCACCTGGAACCAGGAACCAGGAGGAGGAGAGGAAGGAGAACAAGGTGCAGGAGACGGATGATGGAGGAGGCAAAGGACGTGGCAATGATGAGGCGGAGGCGGTGGCGGATGCGGTGGAGGGGGGAGGAGGGACAGGCAGAGGAGGAGGGAGGAGGAGTGTGGAGGAGTGCGGGGGAGGGAGGACGCAGGGGAGGAGGAGAGGGGGGCACCAGAGTAAACCCGAGATGCATGAATGATGCTACACTGCCCTCGCCCGTCCCAAGCCCCCTCCTCATAAGCCCCTGCAGGAATTCCTCTTCGCTGCGGGAACTGCCCCGCCCCCCCCTCCCCCCCTCCCCGGGAACGACGAGCGCCCCATATGGTCTTGCAGTTCAGGCGAGAGCCCCGTCTCGAAAAGGAGCTGCGTTCCATGCTTCTGGCTACAAGAAGGACGGCGACGAGGCAGCATCGCTCCGTCCAAGGACCTGCCCAGCGAGGGAGCTTCGCTTTTGAGGATGAACCGCCCTCAGTCCGTCACGCTGTGTTCACCGGCAAGCCATTCAACCTGAGCGCGTAAGCAGGCGAGAGCCCCGAGTTGAGAGGGAGCCGCTCTCCATCCACGGAGCTGCTGCGCAGTCGTACACGCGCCCTCCGTGCGTGTGGCGGCCGGAAGCTTTCAAAGGGCGACGGTGCGCGGCGCTCGGGCGAGGGCCACGCTCCGACTCTCCTCCCTCCCTCCCTCCGTGCAGCTACTCGAAGCTTTTGCGTCGAGTGTCCGTGGCGCCAAGGCGGGAGCCGCAGTTGGAAGACGGCTGTGTCTCCATCCGTGGAACTTTTGAACATGTCTCGCTGGGGGGTCTTTAACGGAGAGAACGTCTCTGACGAACGTCCCGGCCCACCCGACCGACACGTCTGGCGGTCAGACGTCGGGGGCGGCAAAGAGGGGGGTGATGACTAGGGGGGGTGGATATCATGGCGTGGGCCATGGTATTTCCCCGGATTTCATGGCGCCTCTTCTTATTTCATTACGTCCCCAGCCCCCCCCTGGGCCGCGCACATGCCGCTGGTCATGATGTGCACCCCCCCCTCTTGGACACCCTCCTCTTGGCCGCTCCCGAAGACGAGGAGGATTTATCTGACGGCCTTCGGCCCATCCCGCCACTGTACCTGGGTTGTGGGCCATAGGCCTGTAGGATGTTCGTTGGGATGCCGCGGGAGGCCTCTGGGGAGCTTCTTGGGGGCCGTTCTGAGGCCTCCTGGGGGCCGTTTTGGGGCTTCTTGGGGCGTCTTCGGGGCCTCGTGGGGGTCCGTTGGGGCCTCTCGTGGGCTTCTTGGGGCCTCCTTGGGGCCTCCTTGGGGCCTCCTGGGGGCTTCTTAAGGCGGAAGCTTCGGAGTTTCGGTTCGTGTTCCTCCTCTTGGGCCCTTCTTGGGGCTGTCTTTGGGCCGTTTTGGGCGCCTCTGGGGCCATCTTGGAGCCCTCTTGGGCAGTGTTGGGGCCTTCCTGGAGCTTTTTGGGCCGTCTTGGGGCGGTCCTGGGGGCCTCTTGGGCCCTCTTGGAGCGTCGGGAGCTCGAAAAATCGAGGACCCCTGAATCATTGAAAAGCCGATGGAAAATGATTTTGGCTTCTCGGGGCCCTCTTGGGAATGCTCTTGGGGCCCTCTTGGGGCCACTTTAGTTGGCTCCTGGGAGGCCCGGCGGGGGTGCGTCCCACGCAGATCACTACGAGACCTCGCCGTCCCCTGGGTGGCTGCGATCTGCGAAACGGCCGCCACTTTCGGGGGAGTCCTGGGAGGCCCAGCGGAGGAGCGTCTTAAGCAGATCACAATGAGACCTCGCCGTCCCCTGGGGTGCTGCGATCTGTGAAACTGTCGCCACTTTCGCGAGCTCCTGGGAGGCCCGGCGGGGGTGCGTCCCACGCAGATCACCCCGAGACCTCGCCGTTCCCTGGGGGGCTGTGACCTGGGAAACAGTCGCCACTGTCGTGGGCTCCTGGGAGCCCCAGCGGAGGTGCGTCTTACGCAGATCACCATGAGACCTCGCCGTCTCCTGGGGGGCTGCGATCTGTGAAACTGTCGCTAGTTTCGTGGGCTCCAGGGAGCCCCAGCGGGGTTGCGTCCCATGCAGATCACCACGAGACCTCGCCGTCCCCTGGGGGGGGCTGCGATCTGCAAAACTGCCGCCACTTTCGTGGGCTCCTGGAAGCCCCGGCGTGGGTGCGTCTTACGCAGATCACCACGAGACCTCGCCTTTCCCAGGGGGGCTGCGATCTGCGAATCTGTGGCCACGCAGATCACCATGAGACCTCGCCGTCTTCTGGGGAGCTGGGTTGCGACGTTGGGGGGTCCAGTGGCGCTGCTCCCACGAATTATGTCTCCAATCGTCTCTCCTTATTCTTTATTGTGTTTCCACACTCCCTCGTGGCCGCCTTCCAGCCAACGATCTGACTCTTAAGAGCGACGCCGCATATGTGAACATGTGATTCTGGCCCGACGTTCTTTGGCGAACCGTTCAAGAGCACGGCGGATCCTTCAGTGCTCGCTTGTGTATTGAGCGGTCCGATGTATTGCCGCCTCATGTGTACAGATGGTTGGTTACGTCTCTGGGTAATGATGAAGATTCTGTTGATGCGGCTGCTGATGATGACGATTGTGATTGCGATGGCGACGAGGATGACCACGATGACGACGACGACAGTGATGATGGTGAGGGCGACACTGCTGCTGCTGCTGCTGCTGCTGCTGCTGCTGCTGCTGCTGTTGTTGTTGTTGTTGTTGTTGTTGTTGTTGTTGTTGTTGTTGTTGTTGTTGTTGTTGTTGTTGAACATTATTAATTCTAAAGAATAATTATTGTTGGGACCCCTGGTGCACGGCCCCCCCGCCGCGCCTAGGCCGCAGCTACATTTTCATCATTTTTCGCGAAAGCTTCAGAAAAGTGGATGGGGTCCAGATCCGGTTGTTTTGTTGTAATCCGTTTTCCCTTGCAAAAAACACTATAAAATGACATTTCTTGTTCTAATATAATCAAATTTCAAGAATCCCTTGCAAAAAATAAGGTAAAGTGGACATTCGCGCGCGCAAGACGAAATCCTTCCAAAAGCTTAGTGTTCGGAGCGATTTTAACATAAAAACATAAAAAACCAATGGTTTTTCAACAAAAAAATGTCAAAATCTCATCCCGCGCGCTCTTGCGGATTCGTAGGAAACCCAACACTTTTTAAACATTTCTGTCAAACGGGCTTTTGCGAGCAACTTTTTCGAACTTCTGCAACAACGGTTGCGCACCTGCCAGGGCCATCATCCCTGTCAAATAATACCATGCGGGACACATTCGTTTTTTCTTCGCGCGCGCACGCCGTCGTCGTCGGCCGCGGGGCCCTGAATAGTAGCCACGGTCGTCCGCATGCCACGAAGTGAAGTGTCCGAACGTCATAGGGCGGGAAGCTGGGTGTGGGTGGTGGCGAAGAGTCGTTTGGAAATTTGGTAGAGCTTGAACCGGCCCCCCCACAAAGTGGGGGTATTGCCCGCCTCCTATGAAAACCCTGGCACTGGTGAGAACGGAGTGTCCCCACGTGCTAGTAATTGTTGTTGTTGTTGTTGTTGTTGTTGTTGTTGTTGTTGTTGTTGTTGTTGTTGTTGTTGTTGTTGTTGTTGATGGCGACGATAGCGATGGTGATGAGGGGCGATGAGATGGTGATGGTGATGGTGATGGTGATGGTGATGGTGACGGCGATGGTGAGGGTGAGGGTGAGGGTGAGAGCGATTATGACGGTGATGGTGATGACGATGATGGTGATTGTGATGCTGATGGTGATGATGCTGATGATGATGCTGATGATGATGAGGATGATGGTGGTGGTGGTGATGATGATGACGATGATGATGCTGATGATGATGATGATGATGATGAGGTGGAGGAGGAAGGGGAGAAGGTTGAGGAACATGATGGTAGTCGTGATGATTATGGGGAGGAGAGAAGGGATGTAATAACATTCTAGGGCGGGGGATGGAGAGCATGAGGAGACATGAAGTTTCTGGCCGCCCCGGGACAGGCGTCTCCCTCGCGGCCGATCACCGCTTGCCTGCTCTATCGGGGACCACAGATGCATCCGCCTGGCCAAGCCTCCTCCCGCTGCACCCAAAGGATGCGGATGAAGATGAGGATGAGGATGCGGCGGAGGAGGAAGAGGAGGAAGAGGAGGGGGAGGAGGAGGAGGGTGAGGAGGAAATAGAGGAGTTGCAAGAGGGGGAGGGCAATAAGAACAAGTAGGAGGAGGAGGAGAAGGACCAGTGTAACCCCAAGACGCTTCAACGATGTTGCAGTACACCCTCCATCCAAGTCCCCTCCTCACAGGTACCTCAAAGAATTTGTTTTCATTCCGGGAGGTGCCCCATTGGAAGACAATCGCCTGATAATCCTCAGTCGTGCCAGAAACACAATTCCTGGGACTTCGGCGCCGCGAATCAACGTGCCTGGTGCGCCCTGGCAATCTTGAGCCGTGCCAGAACGCGGTCCTTGGGACTTCCACACCGAGAGCCAACAACACTGCTGCGTCCTGACAACCCCGCATCCCGCCAGAACTCAATCCCTGGATTGTAGGCCGAGTGTGCGCGGGGCTCAGGCGAGAGCCACATTTTGAGAACCAGCCGCCCTCCACCCGCGAATCCGTTGCACAAGTTTGGGCGAACGGGCGCGGCGCTCGGGCGAGAACATCATTTTGAAACGACCCGCTCTCAATCCTTGAAGCCATCGAACTTTCGAGACGAATGTGCGCGGCGCCAGTACGAGAGCAGCCTTTTGAAAACGACCCGCCCTCCGTTCGTGAACCTGCAGCAACCTTTACAGCTGAACGTGTGCGGAGCTAATGTGAGAGCCGCAATTTGAAGACCTTGCGCCTTCCACCTGCGACACCGTTGTGCATGTCAAGCTCAATGGTCATACATAGTGAGCAAGTCTCAAGCGCCCCGCCCGCCCCGCCCTAGCGACACTTCTGGGAGTATGACCGGGACGAGTTATTCAAAAAGGAAAGTGATGGGGGAGGAGGAGGAGGACGAGGATGAGGAAAACTGATGATAATCTTCTCCTCCTCCTTCTCCCCGTCCCCCTCCCCGTCCCCCTCCTCCTCCTCCTCCTCCTCCTCCTCCTCCTCCTCCTCCTCCTCCTCCTCCTCCTCCCGTCTCCTTCCCTCCTTCCCTCCCTTCCTTCCCCTCCCTCCCCCCCTCGCTCCATCCCCCCCCCCTTCCATTCCTCTTTTTTTGTTCGTGTGTGTGTGTGTGTGTGTGTGTGTGTGTGTGTGTGTGTGTGTGTGTGTGTGTGTGTGTGTGTGGGGGGGTGTGGTTGGGGGACCTGGACTGGCGGCTGCATCGCGGGCCCTGGCAATCGAATGAAGAGTCAAAGTGCAGAGTCGTAAAATAAGCCGCCGCCGCCTCTGCCGCCGCCGTCGCCGCCGTCGTCGTCGTCGTCGTCGTCGTCGTCGTCGTCGTCGTCAGTATCGTTGACATCCTAGTATGCTTCGTCGTTGAATATTCATTTCTGGAGAGTACTTTTTCCCAAAACAGTGCTTGAACTTAGTGGTTCTTGCCTGTCTTCTAAGGAGCTGGGCCTGCGGGCCGCTCTGGCCGCCACGTGACCGCCGTCGCCGCCTCGTCGCCGCCTCGTCGCCGCCCGTCGCCGACCGTCGCCTGGGCCTGCGGGCCGCTCTGGCCGTCATGTGGCCGTCGCCGCCTCATCGCCGCCCGTCGCATCGTCGCCGCCCGCTTGGCATTGCTTTCATTGCTTCGCATTGCGTCGTATTGCTTCGCATTGCTTTCATAACTTTGGATTGCTTGACATTCCGATGCATTGCTTGGCATCGCATTGCATTGCATTGTGTTGCATTGCATTGCTTTGCATCGCTTTGCTTTGCTTTGCATTGCGTTGCCTCGCGTTGCATTGCGTTGCATTGCTTCACACTGCGCCACATCGATTGCACCACGTGCATTGCACCATTGCACCGCATCGATTGCACCATCTGGATTGCACCGCATCGATTCCAAGAAATCACAGTTGGGGGTCCACGCTGGCTAACAATGCTGATACATGATCCAGGGCTCCGCCCCCCCAAATGCTGATGTGATCGGGCACCCCCCTGCTGGATGTGTACGCCCGTGAGCCTCGCGAAGGCCTTGCGAATGGGATCGCCGCCTCCTCATCTGGGGCCGTGGCTCTGGGCGTGGCGTGGTGGTGGGCACTGGTGCCTCGCCTCCCCCGGTGGGTGTGGAGTGGTTCGTCGTCGTCGTCGCCGTGGCGTCGACGTCGACGTCGTCGTCCCCCCAATCCCGTCCTGGGGGGTTCCTGTGGAACCCTGGGACCCATCCCATCGGGGGGGGGGGCGCCTGTGAACCCTCGACCCGGGATCATACATGGAAACGGTTCCTGGCGCTCTCGCATCGACGTCGGCTACCTTTTCTCTGAAGACGGCGCCCCCGCTCGAGCGCGGGCTTCACTTCGAATGTGAGTTGTTGAAGGCCCGGATGCGACGACAACGGCTGCCGCTCGATGGTTCTTCGCACTTTGCTCCAAGACGCCCTGGCCAGAGATGCCCCCCTAACTCCAGAATCGCGCTCTCGCTCGAGACTTCTTCGCAGGCTGCTCAAGTTGGTGAAGGCCCAGCTGCGACGACGAGGGCTCCCGCTCGATAACTCCGCAACATGTTTTCGAGACGCCCTGGCCAGAGAGGCCTCCGAATTCAGGAACGGCGCTCCGGCTCGAGACTTCCTTGCAGTCCACTCAGCTTGGGGAAGGCCCGCCTGTGAAGACAGCGGCTGTCGCCCGATATCCAGCTGCCTGCGGGAGGTGGAGGAGGAGAAAGGAGGGAGGGAGGGAGGGGGAGGAGGAGGAGGAGGGAGGAGGAGAGAGAGGAGGAGGAGGAGGAGGAGGAGGAGGAGGAGGAGGAGGAGGAGGAGGAGGAGGAAGGAGGAGGAGGGGAGGAGGAGGGAGGGAGGGAGGGAGGGAGGGAGGGAGAGAGAGGAGGGGGGAGGGAGGGAGGAGGAGGAGAGGAGGAGGAGGAGGAGGAGGAGGAGGAGAGGTGGAGGAGGAGGAGGAGGAGGAGGAGGAGGAGGAGGAGGAGGAGGTGCAGTCAGCATGTTTGGGGGCGACTCTTCGAGGGGCCACGGGAGGCCGTCGTGTGTGACACTTCGGGCCCCCTCAAGGTTTTGGAGGCCTCTTGAGGAGTTCTTGGGGGCCTCTTGGGACCCCTTGGCAGCGCTTTGGAGCCCGTTCGGAAAACCTCCCGGCGATCGGGCGTGACCGGCCGCCCCCCCCCCCCTTCCCCCGTCCCTCACGTCACGGCGGTCGTCTGGTGGCGACCGCGGGCGTCCTGTGGCGCTCGCAGGCTACTGTGGTGTACAGAGGCACGTTGTGATACTCGCGAGGGGAAGCGGTTGCGTGCGTGCCGCGTGGTGCTCTCAGGGACGCAGTGTTGTTCTGTTTCTGAGAGGCATTGGTGCGTCGGTCGTAGCGCGGCTTCGTAGCTGCCAGCGCTGTGGTGTATACAGGCACTGGAGCTCCTCCTCCTCCTTCTCCTCCTCCTCCTCCTCTTCGTCCGGCCTTTGAGATTAGAGTTTATTTGTATATGGTATCGTTTCGTTGACTTTTTGGCCTCCGGGCGCCCTGGGCCCCTCCAGGAGCCTTCTTGAGGCTGGAGCGGAACGATTCGAGTTCCTTTTGTATCCGGTATCGATTCGCTGATTTTTTGGCCTCCGGGCGCCCTGGGCCCTTCCTGGGACCTTAAGAAATCCGCCGCAAAAAGACTCCGATTGAAATCCTCGACGGAAGGATCCCCATTGATATCCTCCGCAAAAGGATTCTTATTGAAATCCTCGCAGGAGGAGGAGGGGAAAGAGGAGGAGGAGGAGGATGAGGACAGGGGGGGAAGAGGAGGAGGAGGCGGAGGAGGAGGAGGAGGAGGGGGACGAGGAGGACGAGGTGGGGGAGCCTGCAACGCAGCGATGAGTGTTTATTTGTAACCGATATCGATTCGTTGATTTTCTGGCCTCGGGGCGCCCCTGGTCCCTCCGGGGGCCCGGAACGGAACAGTTGGAGTGTATTTGTATGCGGTATCGATTCGTTGACCTCTTGGCCTCCAGGCGCCCTGGGCCCCTCCTGGGGCCTTCCTGGGGCCTGTAACGGAACGATTATTATTCGTAGTAGTAATAACAGTAGTAGTAGTAGTAGTAGTAGTAGTAGTAGTAGTAGTAGTAGTAGTAGTAGTAGTAGTAGTAGTAGTAGTCGTAGTAGTAGTAGTAGTAGTAGTAGTAGTAGTAGTAGTAGTGTTGTTGTTGTTGTTAGTCGTAGTAGTAGTAGTAGTAGTAGTAGTAGTAGTAGTAGTAGTTGTAGTCGT